TGGTGATGGGATGAAAAAACCGTCATGGGTTTGAATTTTTAAAAATTTAATTTTTGATAAACTTGATTAAGTTTTGAAAGGGGGCCTGAGTCTAGCTAATTTAGGATCAAAGAACCCATTTTGGGCCTTGGAATTAGATTTAGATGTCATTTTGGGGCTGAAACGGGTAGTTGCAGGTCTACCTTTGTGTGTTAAAAAATGATTTTTTGGCTAACTTTGATCAATAATTTGATGATGTTAGAGTTAAATTCAAAAGCTAATTCTAGNTAGTTGCAGGTCTACCTTTGTGTGTTAAAAAATGATTTTTTGGCTAACTTTGATCAATAATTTGATGATGTTAGAGTTAAATTCAAAAGCTAATTCTAGGGGGGGGGATTAAAACTAGGTTGTTCAAAGAGTATGTGGGCATTGAAATCAAAGAAAATAGTGTACTATAGTGGGAGAACTTTGGGGTTAAAGTGGGGTGGTTGAGCAGAAAATTATGTACTTAGGACAAAAGTCAAACTAATTAAAGATTGAAGATGAAGTGGGGTGGGGGACATTAGTGGACTCCGACGGAAATTTTGGGCACGTACAACCTCTGATTCATGCCAAAAGTTTCGTAACGTCCTTGCAGAGGTCTTGGTACATATTTAAGTATATCCAATGGTCGAATCAAAATGAGAATTAAAATGACTGTTTTAGTCTCTAGGGTCAATTTGACCTAGTTTTTGAGTATTTTTGGAAAATAAATCTTATATTCATTCTTAGGTAGGTAAGTTGAGTATGTGTATGAAATTTCATTAAAAAATAATTTAGTTTTATTTTTGGCTATTTCGGATAAAAAAACAGTGCATGGTATGATTTCTCAATTCCAAATTAATCGAAGTTTTTCAAATTCATTTTGAAATTATGTCTTATATTATTTATGAATGTTTAGCATATTTTAAAACTTATAATTGAATTTTTGAATTAGGGCTGAAAATCACGGATCCGAACTATAGTTTTGAGTGCGATAACATACAGTGGTCCGAAACAATGGTTTTGATTATATAAAATGAGATTGCAGAATCCTTTTAAAATAATTGTAAGTGCACATAGATTGAGTGGCAAAAAAAGTTTACATTCTAGTTTAAGGTTATAAAAGGTACTCATTGATTTAATTGCATGAATTAATTTATTTTTTGAGTCGATACTTATTTGCATTTGTGCATATGTAAATTGTTCGGGTCGAAGGCTATTACATCAGTTCCACCTAGGGATTGAGCATAAAGCTAAGTGGTGTGTTGGTTAGCGATGACAGGTGAAGTGTACTGTTTCATAATAATTATAAATAAAAGTATATGATTATTATGAGTTATTTCACTATGTGCAATGAAGTTTTGATTACTTAATTTATGTTGAATTGAACAAATGATGGATCAAATATATTTTGTTGAAAAGCTTGTGATTTATTGAAAAGCTTGTGATTTGTTAAAAAACTTGTAATTTGAGTAGTATCTACTGTGCTACCGTTGTTGATAATTTGATATAACTTACATGTTGTTAATTTAGACATTGTGTAGTTGCCGTGAGACAGCTTAACATTGCTTAAATGTTGTAGATACATTGACATTGTTTAAATTTTGTTGATAGTCTGACATTGCTTAAATGTTATTGTTGACTCATAGCACATGTATATTATTTATTATGTTGTTATATTGACAGTCATTATGAGATTTCAAAGTGAGTTGAAAATATTTTGATTTTGACATTCTCCCTAAACGGTGAACATATTTTTGTGAAATAATATTTGATCCATATTTTTTTTAATATTTTCATTTATTATGATGAGTAGTATACTCAAGAAAATATTTATTTTCAGGGAGTTAAAGTTTAGAGTTGGGTCTACTACAACACTAGCAGAGTCGAGATGAGATGTTAAGGAAACTGGTTGTGTACATATTATATTGGAGTGTTCGTTTCCTTGTTGATGTAACAAATGAATTCCCTAATTCTTTGTTTTGTATTGAGTTACAGAGTTGTGTACTATGTTATAGAGTTGTATGGTTTGTCTCTTTTATGAGATTAGTGGTTAGTATTATTGGTTTTAAATAATTCCTTGTAGTGCAGGCGTAGGTATTACCACGTGTCGAGTTATACTTCCATCTCTGGAATACCAAATAAGTCTCTCAGGTTGGGGTGTGACATTTTTTGTGTACTAGTGTGTGTATATTTTAGTATATTAGTATATATATGTGTATTTTTTGGTGTAATAGTGTATGTATATTTTTTGGTATATTAGTATACTAGTCATTGCCTGTTTTTGAAGACACTATGTTATTTATAAAGTTTCAACCCACAACGATAGGATGTTTGAATAATTTAAATACATAGCAATTAGATTAGTTTTGAACAATTTTTTTTTGTGCAATTGGTATCTTATTTTTTTTTGTATTGGTCACCTATTTTTTTTAATTGCTGAATAGTTTGGGCTTGAAATTTTTTTTTTTTTCTGAAAACTATAGACTTTTATACAGTAGTGGTTTATTTTTGGTATGAACAACAAATTGATAATTTTATTTATGTATTATAAAGACAATTTAAACTTTATTGATTGATAAGAAGTAATAAGTAATCACCGTTACTAAGATATGTGATAAGAAGATCTATTTACAGTGTATTTTAGGTATGAATCAGTTTGTAATAAGAATGATGAAAAATTATATAGTAAGTATATAATGATTTTTAATGAAATATTATACCAAAAGTTTTGAAAAAATCGTGACATTGTCTATTTGGATATTGATTTTTGTGTTGTAGTGATGATGTGTATGAGATTATTGGGGTTAAACGTAAACTGACAAACCTTGAAAAAAGAAGCACTAAATTTAGAGATATTATGTATTTTATGTGTATTTAATAGAAGTATTTTTAATTTTATTGTAAATTTAGAAATTAAACAAAATCAACATAAATCAAGGTACAAACAATACACTTTTAACATATAACATTTAACAACAATCAGTTAATGACAATATATCCACAACTAAACCACACAAACATTAAAAATTAAAAACAAAAAGTTATTGCCAATACACATACTACTAAACCAACACGAAAAAATCATCAATACTCACAAACACGCATAAATGTTAAATATTTGCTAATTGCACAGTTATAAAAATTAAACATAAAATATTTGATAACTACTCAGTTATAAAAATTGAACAAAAAAATAATTAACATTAAATAATGAGATGATTTGCCATTAACAAAATTTGTAATAGATATTCTTTTAACTAATCATTTATGACAATCAATAATATATTTTGTTCACTTTCAATAAAAATTAATTTTTTTGTGAACTATAAGTTTTCATGTAATTCTTTATAAAGTGGTGATTAGGTATGAATAATAGTTCGAAGGTTTTACTTATGGATTGGATATTTGTATTTTTTGTTTCTATTAAAAAAGGTGATAACGATTAGATTGATTTTAAATTTTTTTTGTGCAATTGGTAATACTTGTTATTTTTTATTGGTGATTAAATTGAACTTTGTTTTTGTTTTTTTTCTTTTTTGAGAACTACAGGTTTTCATATAGTAATGATTTTTTTTTTATTATGAATAATAATTTTATGATTTTATTTATGGATTGTATATTTATACTTTTTATTTGTGTGAAAATGGTGATGGTGATTAGATTGGTTTTGAATTTAGTAACTTTAATATATATATATATATATATATAAAGAGAGAGAGAGAGAGAGAGAGAGAGAGAGAGAGAGAGAGAAAGAGAGAGATATGAGATGAGATAGTGTGTTTAAAACGTCTAAGTGATAAAAGAGAGAAAGAGTTATACGAGAGATAGGAGTATTAGAGTTAAATCTAATTATAATCGTCAGATTAATATTTATGAGATGATCTGAACCGTTTTTTATGTTAAGATTACATTGTATATTGAATGTGTTTATGTTTTGTCTTAAAACGATCTGGATCTATTTTTGTCTCCAAAATTCAAACTCAACTCAACTTTATTATATAAATTTATTTAATTTTTATCACTTGCGTTATTTAATAAAAAGATAAATATTCAATCCAATAGATACTCATTTATAATCCATATTAAACCGCTTAATTAAAATGAATCATATTACCCAACTCATTTAAAACTCATATTAATTAATATAGGTATTCAACCTATTTATTTTTAGATGAATTAATGGGTAACGAAATTATAGAGTTTAAGTCTTTTTTAGGCCATCTATTTTCGTAAATGAGTGAACCTAATTCAATACCACCATTAATAAAAATGAATCGGGTACGAGTAAAGTTAATCAAAAGAAATACACGATAAGACTCGTTTATATATTGATTATACACGATTAATATATGACACAAATCCAATAAAATACAACTCGTTCGACATGAAATAATAAACGAATTAGGTATATGTGATATACATTTTATAGACTTGTCAATTGTATCGGGTAAAGTGAGTTCGTATTGAATTTTAATAAATTCGTGTTAAAAAACACTCAATTCAAACTTGATTCGTATATTAATTTCAAATGAGTTGTGTTATATCAAGTTTGTATATAATTAATATATAAACAAGTTATGTTATATATTTTTATATTCACTTTACACATATTTAATTTGTTTATTAATTATGTTATGTCAATCCTACTCTATATAAAATAGATAACTTACAAAGGTTTAAACTTTTTAATTTTGTATAATATTTATATCATATTAACAAACAAATCGTATCGTATTTTAAGCTTATTTATAAGGCCGTGCCAATTGTCAACTGCCGGACTTCCCTCTGCAACTCAACGGTTCTCAAGGTGGAAGAATCTTCTGGAAACTCCTCGCTCTTTACCTAATATACCCCACAAACCACCCTAATTACCAAACGCACACTGTACATCCACTCTGCATCCTCGCACGCAGGCCTGCAAAAACCTTCGCACACCCAAAAACCCTAAATCCATCACCCCCATTCTTGAAGGTTCAATATCCGGAACGAAGGAAGAAATGGCGTCCGCAAATGCTATCTCTACAGCTTCAATATTCTCTTCCCCCAAACAAGTACTTCCTTCTTCTCATATCTATCATTTCTTTCACGGTTTTACCATTTGGGTTTTCCATTTCAAAATTATTTTTGAACGTGTATATATGTTATATGTATGAATGTGCGTGTGTGTGTGATGATTTTTTGGGCGGTTGATATGTGGGACGCAGGGGAATTTGAGGAATAGGAGGGTGAACCAGTTACAGGGAGGGAAGGTGAATTACAGGCAATCAAGAGGTCGATTTGTAGTGAGAGCTGCTGCTAAAGAAATCGCCTTTGATCAGCACTCCAGAACCGCTATTCAAGCCGGTATCGACAAGCTTGCCGATGCCGTCGGTCTTACTCTTGGCCCCAGAGGTGCTTTTCTTCTATTGGTTTTGTTCGTTTTCCTGTTAGTATGTTGGTTTTCGTTGTTATTATCGTTGTCTTTAACACACATCAATTTTCTATTTTTTGCCACTCTAGCGGTTGTAGTTTTGCCTTGTGAAACAGACAGAGGCATTAGGGATGGGGAAAGTGACTTTAAATCAGTCAAGTACTACTCTAACAAGTGGTGAATGCTTGGATTTGCATACCTGTGAGCCAAACAGCTTTGTTTTAATCTTGATGTTCAGGGAACTATAGCAATTACCATTCATGTTTAGCAACATGGTGATGAATAATGACTAGTATATGTAGTTTTGCTTCCGCTCTCCTGCTATAAGGGTAAGGGAAAGGTGTTTAATTGTGCTATATTTTCTTTACACTGCTGTTTTTGGGGTAACTCAATAACATTGCATTAACATGCCGATATGTAATACTTGGTTGTGTTGGAATATTTTGGTTGTTTTTTATGAGCTCTGGTATGCCAATGTAGCTTGAGATAGTGTTACTTCTGGCAACTGCAGGGACATAATCAACCTGCATGATTAGTTTACTAATACATTATTACTCAGTTAAGGATATTTGTTTTGGCCATTTAATTGACAAACCGTGTTTTGCTCATATGCAGGAAGGAATGTTGTCCTGGATGAATATGGGACCCCAAAAGTGGTTAATGATGGTGTCATGATTGCTCGAGCAATAGAGTTACCTGATGCTATGGAAAATGCCGGTGCTGTTCTCATTAGGGAGGTTGGCCCTTTTTATGTTGTCTCTTTCATAAGATTATGGTAGTTTGTAGTATATTACTTGTAATAGTATATTGCTAGAATGTTCATATTTGAGCTTCTTTTTCCTCTTATTTTAAATTGAGATGATTAATGCTTGATAAAGGTTGCAAGCAAAACCAATGATTCTGCTGGTGACGGGACAACAACTGCATCAATTCTTGCGCGGGAGATTATCAAACTTGGTCTATTTGAATGTTACCTCAGGTGCAAATCCAGTATCTGTCAAGAAAAGCATTGATAAAACAGTGCAGCAACTGGTAGAAGAGCTTGAGAAGAAAGCTAGACCTGTCATAGGGGGTGATGACATAAAAGGTAGTGTGTTTATCTTGTTTTTGTCACTCCTTATATAAAATTATTCATATGAACAACGGGATAACTACTTTTTAATGATAAATTGTGTTGCATTCCAGCCATTGCTTCTATCTCTGCTGGAAATGATGAAAGTATTGGTATCATGATTGCTGATGCAATTGACAAGGTCGGGCCTGATGGTGTCCTATCCATTGAGTCATCCTCTTCCTTTGAGACAACTGTTGACGTGGAAGAAGGAATGGAGGTCTGTATTCATTTGGGAGTTTGGGCTCCATATGTTTTCCCATTTTCCCACTTCATCTATGACTGCTCGTGATGCACATCTACTTGACTTGTTTATATTTATCTTGATTTGCAGATTGATAGAGGATACATCTCTCCACAGTTTGTCACCAACCCTGAGAAATTGATAGTTGAATTTGAGAATGCAAGAGTGTTGGTCACTGATCAGAAGATATCATCAATAAAGGACATAATTCCTTTGCTGGAAAAGACCACTCAATTGCGAGCCCCTCTGCTCATTATCGCTGAAGATGTCACTGGAGAGGCTTTGGCCACTCTTGTTGTGAATAAGCTGCGAGGTATCCTGAATGTTGCTGCCATCAAAGCACCTGGTTTTGGCGAGAGGGGAAAGGCTCTCCTTCAAGATATTGCCATATTGACAGGTATATCATTATTGCTAATCTGCTTGAAAAGTTGCTTCCGTCCTTCGTAAGGTTGTTCCTCCAGTTTACTCATTCTCTCTGTGTAGCAATGAGTCAGCTTACAAAATGGATCTGTAAAATTGTTTTGAGTAACGGCCTTGAGCAAAAATTATATTTTTTCTCTCTCTGCTTTTGCATGTACAATTTGTCAAGAAATTGTACATCTTAGTGAACAGAGTCAGTAAGGATATGGATGCACTATTGATTGATTCAGAGAAAGTATCCAAACACCTTGAGTTATTATCATCCGTATGCTGGCGTCCTTTTTCTAATGTCTGTGTCAATTTTTCAGGGGCTGAGTATCAAGCCAGCGATTTGGGATTGCTTATTGAGAATACCTCAGTTGAGCAGCTTGGTTTGGCCAGAAAGGTGACCATCAGCAAGGACTCCACAACCATCATTGCAGACACCACAACAAAAGATGAGATACAGGCTAGAATTGCACAGATTAAAAATGAGTTGGCTGAGACAGATTCTGTTTACGACTCAGAGAAGCTTGCTGAGCGAATTGCCAAATTGTCTGGTGGGGTTGCTGTAATAAAGGTGGGAGCTGCAACTGAAACTGAACTGGAGGATCGTAAGCTTCGTATTGAAGATGCAAAGAATGCAACTTTTGCTGCGATAGAGGAAGGGATTGTCCCCGGTGGAGGTGCTGCATTAGTTCACCTTTTCAACTTATGTTCCTGCCATTAAGGACAAGCTTGAAGATGCAGATGAGCGGTTAGGCGCTGATATTGTGCAGAATGTATGGAATGCACCATCTTGCTGCACCAAGTGTTTGTTTAACATATTTATTTGTTTGGTCATTTCTTTGCCAAGTGCATGATCTTATCCTTCACCTTACCACCCGCAACACCACCCCCGGGTTTCTTTTAGTCATTTAGGGAAAGTTTATTGTGTTCAAGGCAATCTAAGCATTCCTAATTTAGTGTTCAAGGCAATCTAATCATTTCTAATTTAGACAACCCCTCTCAGTTATTTTTGGGTGGACCCTACTGACTTGTATTTCTGCTTGTAGGCACTGGTGGCACCAGCATCTTTGATAGCTCAAAACGCTGGGATTGAAGGAGGGGTAGTTGTGGAGAAGGTGAAGGAGGGTGAATGGGAAACTGGTTACAACGCAATGACGGACAAGTATGAGAACCTGGTGGAAGCTGGTGTTATAGACCCAGCCAAAGTGACAAGATGTGCATTGCAGAATGCAGCTTCTGTTGCAGGAATGGTCCTTACAACACAGGCGATTGTTGTGGAAAAGCCTAAATCCAAGGCGCCCGTGGGTGCTCCTCCTCAAGGCCTTACTGTGTAATTACCAGCTTAAGTTCATTGTTCATTTGGAATTTAGAGGCGGCTAGTGTCTTAACTGCAGCGGATCAAGGAAGAGGAGAGACCAGAGGAATGAAAAGTCCTTTTTCCTTTCTTGCACTTTGATTTCAACCTTCTTTTCTTTTAACAGCTGGATGAAACTGATGAAACTTGGAATAATGTGTTAAGTGATCATGGCTTGGGCATTTAACAGCAAGCCTACTAGCAGGCAGAGAAGATAGGAGTTCAACTTTAACTCATGCCTTTTCTTTTGATTCGACTAAATTATCTTTGGGCATTTACGTCTCTTTGTAGGCAATTGGTTTTTTTGTCGGTTACGCTTTCTGTCATTAAATTCTAGGTACTATTTTGTATATGTTTGATAGTATGTTTTTTTTATGTAATTTAGTATGTTAATTCATTCCCAATTTAATTTCAAAAAGAAACCATTAGTCTTCCATGTTGTTATCCTGTTAAGAAGCTGCTCTGTTTTGCTTTTGTTTATTCTGTTTTAGATAGTGGATTGTACTTTGTAATATGGTATAGTATTTTTAAATATCATATTTTTTTGTGTTAGTTTGTTAGTTTTATAAAGTTATATAACATTTTTAAACAAACAAGTAAATGGGTGTAATGGGTAGTTTATTATGTTAACCTTACTCAACATAATTCATTTAAAACATAATTCATTTCTCTTCCAGATTCATCTCCAAGCTTGCTCTCCAGATTCTCCTCTTCTCTCATCAATGCTTCTCTCATCAATGCCCATGGCGTTCCACTGCTGCACAATTTATCATTAAAAAAGTTGTTATCCAGTTGTTCATATGAATAATTTTAAATAAGGAGTGACAAAAACCAGAAACGCACTACCTTTTATGTCATCACCACCTTTGACAGGTCTAGCTTTCTTCTCAAGCTCTTCAACCAGGCGCTGCACAGTTTTATCAATGCCTTTCTTGACAGATACTGGATTTGCACCTGAGGTAACATTCAATAGACCAAGTTTGATAATTTCCCGCACAAGAATTGCTGCAGTTGTTGTCCCGTCACCAGCTGAATCAATGGTTTTGCTTGCAATCATTATCAGGCATTAATCATGTCAATTTAAAATAAGAGGAAAAAGAAGCTCAAATATGAACATTCAAGCAATATACTAGTTCAAGTAATATACTAGAAACTACCATAATCTTAGGAAAGAGACAACATACAAAGGACCAACCTCCCTAATGAGAGCAGCACCGGCATTTTCCATAGCATCAGGTAACTCTATTGCTCGAGCAATCACGACACCATCATTAACCACTTTTGGGGTCCCATATTCATCCAGGACAACATTCCTTCCTGCATATGAGCAAAAAACGGTTTGTCAATTAAATGGCCAAAACAAATATCCTTAACTGAGTAATAATGTATTAGTAAACAAATCATGCAGATTGATTATGTCCCTGCAGTTGCCAGAAGTAACACTATCTCAAGCTACATTGGCATACCAGAGCTCATAAAAAACAACCAAAATATTCTTAGAAATTTAAGGGTATATTTCACTTTGACACCGAGTTTGGAAGAAAAACAAGGCAATCCTTGAAACTTGTAAGATGACATGGTGTGATCCCAATCGGGGCATTTCATTAAGGATGACGTACATACCATTGGTCAAACACAGAAATTACCAAGTTCAAAATTTGTTGTCCTTGGGCTAAACAGATTAACACAACTCCTCCTGTTAGTAGCTCCCCTGGCCAGAGAACTGCTTCATCGGAAGCCAGCCTTGCAGCCATTCACCCCACAACCCCACCAACTCCAGCTGTCCACCCCACCCCACCCCGTCCAATGACACCCAACATACCTGTCACCTTCCCTCACCTTCATTGTCCCCCCACATCTGATTTCAACCAAATTTCAACTATTATTTACATCAAAAAGTAAGAGGTGGTCATTTCATTTGTCAAATGACAGGGTTTGTCGTGTTCTTTTGAAAAAAAAAATCAATCAAATCAGGCTGAAACTTATCCAAATTTTGAAATTCAACTTACGGCATACTATAGTTTGTTTCAAAGCAATTTTGTACCTATCAAACATTAAGGGATCATCCAAACTAAAGTTCTATACAATAAAATATCACCTTAGCTTCCAATGAAATAATGTAAAATTCTATCTAGACACTGTGATCCTTTAGTAGCCATTAGGCAGTTCTAGGTTGCAAGGAATGTAACTTCCGTGACACCCCTAGAAAAAATGGCCTAATTGGTGGGAGACCCCTTATAGTTTTTGAAATATCACTGCCACCCCCTGTCAGATTTTGTCTTTAACAACTGTAATAGAAAACAATAAAAGACATAAGTATCCCTAACAGAATAGTCATTTATTTGTCCTATACTAATTACTTAATTTGACCTCAGATTAAATTCTTATTTGACTAATATTAAAATAATTTAATCATAATTAAATAACTTATTTTTTACACACACACACACACACATGTAAATATATACCCTTCAAGTTATTATACACACCCCTCAAGTTGACTTTTAATTCAATAAACTAACATTCAATTTCATCTAATTAATACTAACTGATCTTCAATTGTATCAAATTGACCTTTAATTTTTTCAAATTGACATTAATTCAAATATTAATTTTATCACACTAACATAATTTTATCAATTTAACACAAAATTAATATTTAAAAACTTAATTAGTCAAATTACCATTGAATTTATTTAATTTATAATTTAGATTCATCAAATTAACATGGTATTGAATTTCAATTTCATGAAATTAAAATTCACTTTCATCCAATTAACAATTTTTTTATTGATTTAATATCAATTAACATTCAATTTCATGAATTTTACTCGTAATTTCATGAGATTAATATTAATTTTATCAATTTAATACCAAATTAGAAGTCGTGCCAGTGTGCATGAATGTTCTACCTGAGATAATTAGTATGTGACGTAAGAAAAAGATAAAATAGTAGGACATGAGGGAGGTTTGATTTTAGGATTAGTTTTGTTTAATAAAAGATGTCATTTATAAAAGAATATTGGCTGACATCATTACTTTTTTGATGTCTTTGATGGCGGGGGTAGTATGTGAAATGGACCTATAACCTATAAGAGATGACATTGATATTTCAGAAATAACAGTGGTGTACCCAGCCATTTTTCATGAAATTTACCCTTTAAAATTCTATCTAACCACCATGACCCTTTAGTAACCATTAGGCAGTTCTAGGTTGCTAGGAATGTAACTTCACTAAGTAAGAACAAAACGATATAATGATAAAATGAAAAACAGAACTCATTAAGCATAGGCTACAATCAATTTCAAAATAGGAAGTGAGATGAATTTCAAATTCAATTTGGTGAAGCATAGAATAGATGTACCTCAATCTTCAAAGCTTCCTTTTTCAGTGCAATTCGGAACCTCTCAATTTTCTGAGAATTAATGGAACATTCCTATGAGAGATACGGATACAAATGAAACAACATACAAATATGTACGTCTTCAAGCTTGGCCATTAAAAATTCAAATGTGTCTTTTTCCTTTTCTGCTATCAGAATTTAAAAAATATTCCACTAGAAAAGAGCATAAAATATTATTAGCGTTTCCAGAATGAGATTGAACAACCAAGGACATAAAAAAATCAAGTGCATGACTTCTTTCCAAGACTATATAAATTGATGGAATCTACAAGTCATTTTCAGAGATTTGAATGATGCAACCATTAAAACGAAAGCAGATATATAATGTACACAACTAAAGGGCATTCTAGCAACGTAATAAGAAACATTACCATAAGGAGATACCTCATATGGCCACCATCAACAACAAAAACATCTAAGGAATTACCATCAACTGTTGAAAAAGCATGTGCTTCCTGGATGCTCAGCCCAATCTCAGAAATTAAGGAAGTCAACTACAAATTTTCCACATTAATAATAAAAATTCATTAGATGCTAAATTTGCAATTTGAATCGTATATATATCACTAGAAGGAAAGCTTGTGGACACATATGCAACCTTATCTCCCTCATTCCCATGAAAAAAATATCAGGCATGTTTTCAAATGTTGAGAAATCAACCGACTGCAGTTATGGATTTGGATGTTTTCCAATCAAGCCAAACAGGTGGCTCACTATTTAATCAACTCACCATGACATGTTAGTCACACAAAATTTTTCTTAGATATAGCCTCTGGCTTTCCTTGTAACGCCAACGGAGAAGCAAGAAAATAAAAAAGGAGACAAAATACACATATGCAAGGTTCCAAGTTGACATATTTTCACTTTCTTCACAGATGGGAAACAATGGACAAACACTGGTCGTTGGTTACAAACATAACCTATTTCAGACATTTTGCGCTTCATTACACTATACTCCACACAGACACTTAGCAAATTTTCCTAATCCTAGTTGAACTATAAATGTCATTAACCACTAATATTTTCAAATATAGAGCCATATAATTAGCTTGCAAGTCATCAACTTGAAAAAGGCAGAATAATCAACTTAGTCATAGGATTTTTGAAGAGGACATGAGGTCTGGATATGCGCCAGACCGCCAGTTAAAAGTAGATTACTTCAGTGACATGCCTTGTTGACTGAAAATAGTGTAACTGTGGAGCCTACATCATCTAATTATATACCCCAAATAATATAAAATGATTCTCTATGAACACAAAGAATAATGACATAAAAAGATATAAAAATGTATTGCGATGAATGAAAAGCATAAGGCAGCTTCCTGCCTCTAGATAAAATATCAATACACAAAAATCACTGAGACAAGCAGGAAAGAAACTACATGCCTTTTTGGTTGTAAATTTCAAACTGACCCCCTCTGATGCGTTCATAAACACAGATATCACATACGAAATTGGTAGTTGTAGAAACAACATAGCCCGATTACATATTCTACCCATCTGAAAGAAAACAATGCTGAATAATCAAATTATGATACAAGTGGCATGACATATTAACTACCTGAGGAGTTTTGGCTTGTCATCTGTTGAAAAGGTGATTTCATGCATGAGCCTACATAACAATCAATTACATAAAGCGGCAGGCTGTTAATGACAAACCCATGAAAGTATTGTTGTAATACTGTCTAAAAATAATATAATACATGTAGACGGGCTAGTGCTTCATTAAAAAAAACAGACAAACAACATATAAAGCTAAACGAGGTCAAAATACCACGTCACTAACTAATGCGACCTATGTTTAGTGGCTTCCTTTATCCTTAATTTTTTCAAATCAATAATGATTCAGTGATTTCTTTTACAAGAATTATCTCATTTGACGAGATTTTTCATTTTCACTCAATTTGTGAAAGGGCTTACCATTAGGAGCCCTAATCTCCTACTGGCATACACCTATTGGTGCNTTGGCTGAGGAGCTTTGGCTTGTCATCTGTTGAAAAGGTGATTTCATGCATGGGCCTACATAAGTATTGTTGTAATACTGTCTAAAAATAATATAATACATGTAGACGGGCTAGCGCTTCGTTTAAAAAGCAGACAAACAACATATAACGCTACCTGAGCTCAAAATACTAATTCTCTAACTAATGCGACTTATGTTTAGTGGCTTCCTTTATCATTGATTTTTTTCAAATTGATAATGATTCAGTGGCTTCTTTTACAAGAATTATCTCATTTTCTGTATGTGTGTGTGTGTGAGAGAGAGAGAGAGAGAGAGAGAGAGAGAGAGAGGTCTACATTTAGGGATTTTGACCTGACTAGATTTTTCATTTTCACTCAATTTGTGAAAGGGCTTACCATTAAGAGCCCTAATCTCCTACCGGCATACACCTATTGGTGCATTATAAATATAAGAACAAAAACATCTATGACCTTTCAAAACAAAAGGTGAATGAGCAATTTCAGAATCTAAGCTGAACCTCCGCACATGATATTACAACGCTTAAGCATCTAACAATTGATTGAGGTCTTAGGTCTAAGATAAATCTGAGGCATCATAATCACTATGATAGGGATAAACAATACAAAAGTAAGATCACACCAGACACCTGCACTCTTCTTTTTCAATCCTTGAATAAGTGGAGTTTTTTGGACACTTATAATAACACAATAGGCAAAAACAAGAAAGGAAGTTCTACAGAGGTAAATGTTATCAGAAGAAGGTCATTTAATGATTCTAAAGAGATTCAAGTTCACATGTCCTTTGAGATATGTGGAAGCACTAGAGGATTCTTCATCATAAGGAAATTTGTGCACTAAAGCAACATCACGAGTTGTAAAAGATTAAGTATACCGGGAAGACTTTACACTGGCATTTACAACATTGTCCCCCTCTTGATCTTGAGATTTGTTTGCTTCAAGTGCAAGGGCTTCGAGATTAGGAGATGAACCAAAGACAGCTGGTGGATGAATGTTGACATAGGGGAAGGAAGAGTCACTGATTTCAGTAATCATCTAAACTACAAAAAAATCAGAGGGTGGACTGAACAACAAAAGAAAAGGACGATGCATAAATAAATAGCATTCAGGACAACTTGCATGTGTTATGGGATCTACATTCTCTAAACTGAGAAATCCTTTAAGTAAATCACTTAATAAGTAATACCTTTGAGCGATCACGTTCCCTTCTTGGCAAGTTTGAATGAACGGACTCGGCTGAGTTCCCAACAGAGATAGAAGGAACCTGCAAAAGAAGTGATTGCTAAAACTAAATTGACCAGGCAACAAAATTCAGACATTCGATAAACCCCTGCAGCCAACACCAAGAAAACATAAATGAAACTAAAACAAAAAGAAATAACAAAAATAAGAACAAGAAGAAAGAGAGAAACAAAGAAAAGAACTCCTTTGAGTAGAATAAAAATAAATCATGGGAGGAAAGGAAACCATGAGATCCTATTGAGAAAATAATCGAGTATATGCCAAGGAGAACTAAAGAACGAACTGGAAGGGAGAGAGTGAATGTTAATCACTCACGATATAGATTAACACATCTTCAGATTATGAACTCCAAGCATTAGCCATTTTCAACTTAATACGAGGTTGATATCCCAAAGATAAAAAATTCTTTGATTGACAATGTTGAAGCGGAAATCTTATCAAATCAACCTACCTGGACTACGCGGACTTCAAATGCAGGTCTATTAGCAGGACCATGCCCTAAATGTTGGAATACGTTACTAAAATCTCTCGATATTAATTAAGTCATAGTTAATTAGTAGTCAAATTCAAAATATATAAAACTTTAATTCATTGGTTAAATATTACATTATTCATAACATATATTATAGATGCATTTTTTGTTAAATTATTATATATTAAATATTATTTTATAATGATACATACATACATATATTACATTGATATAATTGGATAGTTGGATTAGATCTTTTCTAGTTAGTACAAGTGACTTGGCTAGAAGGACCCATCAAGTAGTGAAAGATTAGTCAATCATACTTGAAGTATAATTAGCCTATTAAGATTACAGAGGGTTGAAGAAATACTGGTGAAGTTGAAATAATATTAGGAAGTTGAGGATATTTTACTGAATGGTAACGGCTAGCTGAATTTCTCTTATAAATAAAGTTTTTTGCATACAAAAAGAACACATTAAGAAAATACCCAATTTGAGAGAAAATCCATTAAAGGAAAATCTCAATCCTACAGCTTTCGTATCAAAAAGAATTTTTAATTCTCAAAAGTTAGTTCCCCATTTATTAGATTTATCAAATTCTGTTCTTATTCTTACATTGGTATCGGAGCGAGAAGCAGTCACCAAATGATCAAAAAATTTGGCATCATTTTTTATCATACTGTTTTTCCGTTTTTTCATTTCTTGTTTTCCTGATCCCAAAGCATCCAATTATCCTCACCTATTATTTTATTCTCCAATATTTGCTTCCATCATATTCCAAAAACAAAGACAAGGGCCACCACAAATTTGATGTACCTCCAATCTGCCATTTATTATGCACGTCATTCGAAGTCCAAAGAACAAAGCTCAATTTTTGTTTTTTTCTTTTAATGGTTCTTCAATGTTATTACGTTGTTCAATCTTGCGGCACCAAATCAAAGAGAAGGTTGTTGGTGGCTCTTCAACTATTTTTAGTTGGGCAGCGGGACAGAGTTATTAAAAATAGATCGTGATTATTATAGATTTGAGCAATTGGTATTGCAGTCTACTCGAAACATTCTTGGAACCACACTTTGGTAACAAAATTAAATCCGATCAGTTCTAACCAATTTTACTTAGCAATTTATTTTTCAATATGGGGTCTAAAGCTGCTAGTGTAGAACTTAGCAAAATTGAGAGACTTAATGGTACAAATTATTCAACTTAAAAATGTAGGATTCGTCACATATTATTCCAAAATAAAATTGAATATGTCATTGACACACCATACCCAAAAGAACCACCTCTTAGAGCCGGAGAGGCTGCTAGAAACAACTACTAAAGATTCGTAGAGAACGATAAATTGGCTAGGTCAATCTTGCTTACTTTTATTGAACCCGATTTAGAGGTTATTTTTGAGGAATATGAAACTGTTAAATCTATGTTTGATGCTATTACATGAGCCTATGGTACTGCCTTTAACACATATATTCAACTATTGATTGAAAAATATAATGACACTTTTATGAAAGAGGATGAGTTTATTGTTGAACATGTCAATAAACTTGTGGTAATAACTAAAGAGTTGGCATCTCTAGGTAACCTAATTCCCGACAAAATGCAAGTTTCTATTGTTTTACATAGTCTTCCTAATTCATGGGAGTCCGTTGTGATTTCTTTGAATATGTCTGGCCAAGATTTAACAATGACAAAGTTACTTATGTTGCAAGGCATTGAGGCCAAGAGAAAAGCTAAAAAGAAAACTAGTAATATGTCAAACCTAGTTTCTAGTGCCCCATCTTTCCAATTTGTCACGGGTGCCCCATCTAATAATGTGTCAACTACTCCATTCTTTTCTTAAGCCAAGACAAGACAAACACTTTAAAAGAAACAACAATAAATATAACAAGTTCAAGAGACATAATAATTTTAAGAGAAAACAAATAGGTACTTGTTATAACTGTGGGTAGCCTGGTCATTACAAAAGAAATTGCACACAAAAGAATAATTGTCAAAATTTTAAATGATCACGAGACATTGTGTGTGTGGTTCTGAGTCGCTTCTTGCAGACTGTGACTCTCTTGTTTGGCGGATTGATTTTGCCTCTTTTCGGCATGTGGCTAAGACTAGAGATAATTTTATTGAAATAAAAGAGGTGAAAATCGGCGATCACAAGTTATACATGAGAAATAATACTTACTGTGATGTGCTTAAAATTGGCACTGTGAGAATTTTGTTGCCTGAGCAAAATAATCTCCTCTTGACTGATGTACTTTATGCGCCTAATATGCGGCGCAATCTCTTGTCTGTGCCACGTTTAGATGATAAGGATTTTGAAGTCTCTTGTCTGTGCCACGTTTAGATGATAAGGATTTTGAAGTTCGTTGGTAAACATGGTTGTATTCATGGGGGACTAAAGTTGATGGTCTTTACCGTTTGAATGTTACTAGTGACAATAATAAAATTGGTTCTTCTTCTGCTTATATCGATGTCTCTTGTGATGTTAATGTTGATTCTATTTTATGGCATATGAGATTAGGTCATATTAATTACAATAAAAATGAAAAAGATGGCTAATATTGGATTGATTCCAAATTTAGATCTTGACTTGAAACCATGTGAATCTTGTATAAGTGGAAAAATGACTAGAAAGCCATTTAAAAAATTAGAAAGAGCTAAAGATTTGCTAGAATTAATACATTCGGATATTTGTGGTCCTTTAAATGTTAAAACCCATCGTCGTATGGAATATTTCATTACTTTCACTAATGACTATTCAAGATATGGTTGTATATATTTACTAAAGAATAGATCGGATGCCTTACAAAAATTTATTGAATTTGAGGCAGAAGTAGAAAACCAACTAGGTAGAAAAATTAAAACATTAAGGACGGATCGAGATGGTGAATACATGATTGAAATATTTGAATCTTTTTGTAAAGAAAATGGAATAATACATCAATTAATAATTTCTTATACATCTCAACAAAACGATGTAGCCGAAAGGAGAAATAAAACACTTCTTGATATGGTTAGATCTATGTTTAGTCATGCATACTTAAGCACTACTTTTTGGGGTAAGACTATTTCTACCGCCATTTATATTCTTAATAGAGTACCATCTATAATAATAGGAATGACACCATATGAAATTTTGAGGAGTACAAAATCAAGTCTTTCTCACTTAAAAGTTTGGGGCATGTTAAAATTTTCGGACCTAATAGAGGGAAATTAGATTCTAAATCCATAAAATGTACTTTTATTGGATATTGTGAAAATTCTATTGGTTATAGATTTGTAATTCACCATATTGATGAATCAATGAGAGTTATTGAAAGTAGAGATGCATTTTTCTTTGAGGATGACTTAGATAAAATTGAGAAAATGATTAAACTATTTGAAATTACTAAGGAAAATAAAAATAAACAACTACAAGAGCAAATAATAAAAGAGCCTCCACCCAAGGATACTTTGACTAGAATACAAGGGAAAAGACATCCACCTAGCTACTTAAAATATTATTATTAATTCAATAGTGAAGAAATTCCAAATGATCCTATTGATTTTAATGATGCTATAAATTCAATTGATCATTTAAAATGGAGAGAGGCAATCAAAGAAGCAATAGAATCTATAGAAAAAAAATAAAGTTTGGGAGTTAGTTGATTTGCCAATAGATAGAAAAGCAATTGAGTGTAAATGAATCCTCAAAAAAAAAGTTTAAATTGGATGGATCTATAGATAAATATAAAGTTAGACTAGTGGCTAAGGGATACATGCAAAAGGAAGGTATAGATTATGATGAAACATATTCTCCCGTAGCTAAGTTTACCTCAATAAGAATATTAATGTCCTTGGTTGCATACTTAGGCTTAGAGTTACATCAAATGGACGTTAAAACTACTTTCCTTAATGGTGAACTTAAAGAAGAAATTTATATGTATCAACCGCAAGGATATGAAGTTGAAGGTAAAGAAGATAAGGTGTATAATTGAATAAATCCTTATATGGCTTAAAACAATTCTCAAGGTAATGATATCATACTTTTTATAATGCAATTATATCTTATGATTTTGTTCTAAATAACTATGATCATTGTATATGTACTTGGAATAGTGGAAGTTATTATATTATTTTTTCCTTATATGTGGATGATATTTTATTTGCCAGAAATGATATAAATAGAATCTTAGAACTAAAAGATTGGTTAAACACCAAGTTTGAAATGAAAGATATGGATGAAGCATATTATGTACTTGGAATTAAAATTTCTAGAGATAGAAAGCAAATAAAATTGAGCTTATATCAAAAATCTTATTTAGAAAATATTTTAAAGAAATTT